ATCGAGAGGACGCAAATAAAGCTTTCAGGATAGCATTCTTTGCGATTTAAGTCTTCTTCATTTCTTCACTTTCTTCTTGTGTTTTTTTTTTTTTTACATAACTTATCGAGTTTTTTTGTATTTATTCCTTGTTTGGAGACTTTGTTATCTACTTCGACGAAATATCTCGACAATCTAAAAGCTTTATTATTGTGCAATGACAACCGAAGATACAACCATGGCAACAATCAAACTTATGAATCAAGACTTGGTGAGGCTAGACCGTTTTGATGGATCAAACTTTATAAGGTGGTAAGACAAGATCAAATTCTTGTTAGCGGTGCTCAAAATCTTCTATATTCTTGATCCAAACTTAGAAGATCTACCTGAACCATCTGACAAAGACACCGAACAAACAAGGGTAGACTGGAAGAAGCGTGAAGAAGATGAACTTATATGCCGTGGCCATATTTTGAATGCATTGTCGGATCGTCTTGATGATTTATACACCAATACAACATCTGCAAAAAAAAATTTGGTATGCTCTTGAGAACAAGTACAAGGTTGAAGAAGAAAGTACTAAAAAGTTTTTAATTTCTAAGTACTTCGATTTCAAATTTTTAGACAACATTCCCCTATTGCCCCAAGTACATAAATTGCAAGTCATTGTCAATAAATTGAAAGCAGTAAAGATAAAACTTCAGGAATCGTTCCAAGTAGGAGTAATTATTACTAAATTGCCTTCTACTTGGAGAGGATATATGAAGAAACTTCTTCATAACTCCGAAGACTTTTCATTGGANATTATTACTAAATTGCCTTCTACTTGGAGAGGATATATTAAGAAACTTCTTCATAACTCCGAAGGCTTTTCATTGGAGCAAGTTCAAAAAATCTCCGAATTGAGGAAAAGTCAAGGGTAAGATACATGAATGAGAATTCTCATGTTGGCACTTCAAAAGCCAACACCATGGAGAACAACAACAAATCATCAAAGTAAACAAAAGAAATTTTACTAAAGACAACAACAAATTCAAAAAAGAAGCCCAAGGGAGAATGCTTTGTATGTGGAAAAATCGGCCACTTTGCGAATGAATGCCGACAGAGAAAATAAAGCAAAATTGGAGCCAAGGTAAATTCCATTGACAGGGATAAAATAGTTGCTACTATAAGTGAAGTAAATACTGTCATAGGAAAAAAATC